AATTCTCATAATTGAAACAAATTAAAATTCTCTTATTTTTTTAAAGTTTAATAACATTTTAATTTTTATTGAAAGTTTTCCCGTGATAAGATAATATTAATTCAAAACATATATAATATATATATATATATATATATTATATATATATATTTAAAGTCTCATTTTAGATTTTGAAAAATTGAATTAAGCGGATGAAATTTAATGTTTATTAAATTTATTTTTTTATCTACAAATAAGTAATTTATTAATATGTAGTCTTACACTAAAATAATATTTAACATCTTTTTTTATTAGTATGTGGAAAACCTGAGATTCGTGGCAATGATACAATCAAGTCTCTAAGAAAATATTTATGTTTATCATGATAAAATAATAAAAAATACGATATTATCTATCTTATTTTATTATAAAAAATATGTATACTGCATTTTTAGTATATCATGTATAGTTATCATTAAATCGAGTAATATAAATTATCAATAATATTTTGTGATATTATGATTAAAAAATGGATATACCAAAGTATATATTAGGAATCTATTAAATAATTTATTGTAGGTTACATGTAGTTTACACTTTCTCCTCATGTTTAAAGAACTAGAATTGTCACGTCCATATGAATAATTGCACACTCTTGATAATTTGACGTACTAATTATTAATTAGTGTAGTAAAACATAAATTTATAAGTTGTTTTGTTGACTATCATGTGAGAGAATGTGCAAGTTTTACTTGATCTTCATTATGTTAATATGAAATGTATTCATATTAGAAACATATTTTCATAAAATATTTTACAAATTCAAATAATTATGCACAAATTTTAGAGGTTTCAAATATATAAAAGTATACTAAATAAAAAAAGACTTATTTATATATTAATTTAGATAGAAAAAAAGAATTGGGAATCAGAAGCTCCCCCCCCCCTTACGAATCCCTTCGAATTATTGTTAGCTTAAATTTATTTTAGTCCAACATTTTTTATATTTAGAATATCTGTGTTATCAAAGTTACAAGTTGTTTAGAGAAGAATATTTTGAAGAGTAGTAAATACTAATGCAGATACTCTTATTTATGTTGAAACAAATTTACAGTTATTGTAGATCTAAAAAATGCACTCTATTGACTTGTTCTTCTCTATATCAGCTTGTTATATGCTAGGTTATCAATGTACCCAAAATCATTAAATATCATATATATTTTATTATATGTTGATTAATATTTTGACCGCGTAATACATATATATATATATATATATATATATATATATATATATATCAACTAATTAAATATGATTTTGTTACTAAAAGTAAAAAGTTATTACTCTACTGGAGAATCCGACTTAAATTCTCAATACATGATAGTTTGGATTTTGTTCAATTGTTCTTTTTAAACATTATAACTTTTTTTGTTTAATAAAAAACATACTCAAAATCTAAATTGAAACGAGGAAATATTGTTTTTACTACAACGTGAATAAATTTATAAATGATCTTGTATATTATTAATCAATATATATTGAATTAATTTATTTAGCTCATTACAAGTTTAAGTAGCTTGATTATGTAATTATATAGAATGTTTGGATATTTTAATATCTCTTATGCAAAGGTTTGGAATGAAATTACATAATAGTTTGAGTAATATACAAGATAAAACTTTTCAACTATTTCGGCTTTGCGACTAAAGGAACAAATATATACACGTTTTAGAAGAATGAATCTTGAAAAGAAGGGAATGGATCTTGTTGTACGAGATTTTCATGATGATATCACCCTTTACTTCATAAAAAGATTATTTTATATCAATATAATTTCCTAAGAATATTTGTTTAAAGGTCAAAATCTCTATAAATAAACATGTCACACGAAACAATTCATTCTATTTCGGAAACATCTTTTGTTGTCCAGTCAAATATATTAGACATGCAAACAAACAAAACATAGTTTTTTCTTGGAAACTTGGTGGTGATTAGTATTCAAACTCAACAACCAAGAAACCAATATAATAGGTGGTTTTGGAACGTTATAAAGACAAATCTAACAGTTTTCTCATATGCATATATATTGTGAAAAGAAAATAGGAAAAAAGACTTCGAATGTCTTAGCTTTACGGAGACAAGTGTTTCTTAATCTGAGAGAAGGAAGAACACTTGAAGGGCAAAAATATTCAAAGCTTAAGGATTTTCAACAGTTTAGACATTTAAGCACAGAATTCCGATTCAAGAGGACGTGCATGATGAGGTTTTACGCTTTCATCCTAGTATTCAAATAAGAATATTAAAATGATAATTTAATAAGTCATGAAATTAAGGATTAAACAAAAA